TCGCCAGAAGAAGGTGTGTATTCCATGTTCTCTCATAAATGTGTATCTTTCTTGTACGTAGTTTGTAGTAAGCGTAAAATGCTTCATGGTACTTAAAAGAGGGCCGAAAAAGGCACAGTACAATTATAATTTTAGCTGGTGATCAAAATTTGCAAAGCGGAAGCGAGGAAGCTATCACTGAACTGATGATAAAATTGGTTATTACGTGGATTTTGGCTGCAGGGGACACGTCGGCCTAAATTATAACAGAAACTACTTGTCGAAATTGTAATCTAAATGTTGTTGATTGAATTGTTTTATGATTCGAATAATCTGTTAGTATTGTTTCTAAAAAGGCATAATTCGACAATATAATTTTTACTCCATATTAAAATAATTTCAGAGTTGTTCTTGTAGCCATTGCTACTTGAAAAGATAGAACATAAGAAAGAGCAAGGTATCTTCTTGACGGTAAGATCACATACGCTTCATTTGCATGCAGTTTTGTTTGTTTAGACATTCTAAACTTACCCTAAATGATATCACTATTCAGATTTGAAATACAAGTACTGGCTCTCAAGTCAAATACGATCATGTCATTGTGTATTATACACATGTAAGTGTACAAGCTGGAGTTTCTAGTATTTTACCATAATTTGGTATCATTATAATTTTTCATCATTTGGAAGAATTAGTGTGCTCGGCTAGAATTTAGATATACAAGCTATATAGCAAAACCGAATTGAACTGTCAGCTACTCATAGTACACTGCATTTGAAGCATCAGTTTAGAGTTTGACCGAAGACAACGAGAAAGACAGAGAGACAGAGAGAAAACCTGTCAGATTTCTAGCGGCCTCTCAAAGCACACTAGGGCTATATAAATGCAGATTAAACTGGTCCTAAATAAATGGCTTGTGACATTAGGACAGTTGAATTCAGACTGTAATTTCCCTTTGGACTCGCATATAGAAATTTAGTGGTGCTCACAATCGTAGCGATATGTCAACTGTCATGTGCGGAATCCCACATAGAGGTAGGGTTATGGTTGTCAGAATGTACTAGGTTGAGCTCAGTTGGAACATAAGGGCTTAACCATACACCTTCTACGCATACATTAACGTACATGCGTACATGTCATGGAGCAAGGCTTTTTGCAAGTTTCAAACTACATGTAACCGGTATACAAGCTACGATTGAATGATTATAACACATTTTGTGTTAATTTGTACGTATCATGAGCTGAGCCAAGACTCAGCGCAAAGTTTCAATCTGTATCAGTATAGCCGGTATAACCGCTATTCGGCGTAACACACCAGCTTACACACTAGTATACCATGGCCAGCTAAATGCATTTAACCATACATCATATATGAAACAAAGCTTAGTCAGTGCAAAGTTTCAAGCTACATGTAACTTAATTGTTAACTTAATTAAACATGACCCCTTCTCTTAAGTCCTGCAGTTTTAACGTTGTTGATACATCGGTGAAGGTTAGACATCCAGGTAATAAGATACGCCAAAAAGCAGTTACTCGAGCAACTGGGTATGATTTCCAAAATTATATCCAGTTGCTTGAGTAACTGCTTTTTTGGCGTAACGTTGTTGATATTTGGGTTGAACTTGAAGTGTGAACTTGGCCTGTGTCTCTCCACAGCCGACTCCCATGGATGACGAAAATGTCGTTCAGGTAGGCAGGATTTTGTCGGGTGTTTTGCGTTGGTTGCTATGGTAACGGTTGCTATGGTAACGGCATGACAGTTGCGGTGTCTAATCATCACTCACCTTTTCTATCTGGGTCTATTTTCTTGCAAAACCCCTTTTGAGTCACGCCTCTTTTTTAACCTAACATTTGTTTTGAAAGTTTTCATTAACCTTTAATTTGCAGCTTTGGAAGTGGGTTGGGCTTCTTTGCATAGAGTCTGATATTTTTTTATGTTGAACTTATGATTACATATTTTATTACTTCAGTTTGGAAAATAAGTGTTTGTCTCTTGATCTATGATATTAGTGATGAACAATGAGATAAGATTTTGATAGTGACACTACATGTATGTACATATTTGTACCCACTACATATTAGTTTATGATGACTTATTGCAGCTATAGGATGATATCACTACTAAGTAGTAAGCAGGGAAAATATCTTTCTTCTTTCAAGATCAAGTGTATTTACCATCGATGATTCGGGCATGAGTTGCCCTGTACAATCCTAACCCTGTTATCCATGATGAAAGTCAGTTGTGATTTTATTTATCTACACCAGTCCAGGATCACCTAATATATCATGTACTAGCATTACTGTCCCAGACAGTCAAATTGCAAATTTGGCACCACATGTCATGATCAGTCTCTGAAACTTCATACATTCATTTTGTGTTGAATGAAAGAGAGAAACAGGAAGTTTGATTTCCTGTTTTATCCTCAAAAGGTTGCAGGATTTCTTCCTGTTACTAAGGCTTACAGTCAAGATACATTTAGTACAGTTAGTAGGTCAGTCTGACTGAACCTGTGTAATCAACTCTGAGGTGCCGATTCGGGTCACTGAATGCAGACATGTTTCTTACTGAAGCACAGTGATATGTATATATATACAAGTATGTAACGTGACTGAAAGGAATCATTGTTGTCTAAGTTTGTGCTCTAGAAGTCATGCCCATATAAGCGCCACCCCCAGCCTATGGTTAGTACACTGTAATGTAGCTATATAGTATTGTCAGTTGTAAGCAGAATCACTGGGTCACTGAATGTAGAAGAGTCTGACATGTTTGTCTCTGAAGCACTGTATTATACATAATATTATTACATATCTGTGTACATTGAATGATAGGAGTCATAGTTATCAGGTAACGTTTGTGCTCCAGTATCTGGGTGTGGCCTTTTAAGTTCTAATGATGTACCAGTTCCTGCCTATGTAAATAGTACTAGTAATAGTAGTATGGTTAGAATTTAGATTCTTAGAATCAGTACACTGTTCATGTTTCTTGCACCTAAATAAAACATTTTCTAGCCCATTTGTCTTTCTCACAAGGAAGCAGAACATTGTGTATCAATGCAAACTGCAGGGAAGTCTGAGTACTGTCCAAAGTGCCTAAGAAGACCACTCAAGCCAGTCAAGGGACTGTTGAAATCTGGTCTATGTGGACAGGTGCTCACTATATAGACAGGATTCTTAATGATTTAGTGACTAAATGTTTCTTCTCTTCTTCTTCTTCTCCGTTACTGCCCAGCCCTATAGCGTAGGATTATTGGCAGCCGTTACGCATGTTTGTGGCAGTCGGAAAAATTTAAGGGACCTGTAAAAAGTGGTCACAGTGTCTGATATAATCCTTATGCAGAGGTGGTCACTTGTATGTAGGTTTGACTAAGTACAGTATAACAGGGCTTTCCCCAAGCAATGAAGCAAGGGTACTTGTCATGTGTGTCTTGAAGGACCACAGGAAGAATAGCTACATTTGTTGTAAGCTAAATGTGGATCCCAATAAAGTCAAAGTCAAAGTCTCTCCCCACAATCATAGCTTCTGTCCCAAAAAGTTCAAATTTAGGGTTTTCTCTAAGATTTTCCTGAAAATTTTTCTGATTTTCTCGCAACATCAAACAATTAGGGAGCACCTCTCCCTCCAAAATATCTGAGGAGACCCCTCGTATCATAAAATATTTCCTCCCCACATCTGCTTGGCTCTGTGCGGCTGCACCTGTGCTGAGCAGGTGCTGCTAGTGAGAGTGGCATGACAGGTGGGGTGACTGCTGCACTTTGTTCCCTTTTGTCTGCTGTAACAGGTCACCTGGGGGCAATGTCCCACTTTGACCCTTAATCAGGCACAGACTAACATTAGTAACAATGTACACTGCACCTAAAGCATAGCCTGGTTACCAAACCTATTATAGCTCCCGAGTCCTACATCCTCCCTGCAAATAGAGGATGTAGGACTCAGGAGCTATAGAAGGCTTGATAACCAGCAGGCTACACCTAAAAGATGGGCTGTATTAAAAGATCATACAATTGATCTTGTGATATTTGCATTTTAGTGGGTTGAATATGAAATTATATAGCTTAGTTCAAAATCGTGAACAAAAAGTAATACAACAGAGGTTGAATTGTCTTGAATTTCAAGAATATGCAGTATGTATAGTGTACAATTTTAGTACCTATATATGTACATTTACGTAGTCCTATACAAAATCTAGGTGCTCCCACTGTCAAAGCTCGAATTTTGAGTGCACGAAAGTATACACATGTGTATATACACCCAGTATTTGCAGCGCTATCACAGTATACATGTATATCACATATACATGTAGTAACAAGGTTTCCCCTTCAATTGTAACTAAATTTCCGCTGCCACACTGATCACCAGCTGCCGATTGTCTGCCGTTTGTCCTGAGACAAGGTCATTGTCGGATGTTTGTCATCATCAGATGTTAATAGAAACTCCATATGACCTTGGCTAGGGCAGGGACAAGGTCAAATATGATAAAGCTGGCTAGTGATGATACATGAATGCATGATGAAAGAAATAAACAAATTTTACAGTTTGGGAGTACTTTAAGTGTGATAATCAAACAGATTCAGTTCCATAAAGGGAACAAGAAGAGGGATTTAAAACTACGAGATTTAAAGAATTTTTCCTGCCATGCTTAAAGCACAGATTTCTGCCATTTGCTTTCAAATTAATAATTTCTCTGAAGAAAAAGATTAATAAATATTTAAGTTATTAGAGACATACCATATAGCCTTATATTGAAATAAAGGTTATATGTATATAATTAGAGTACTGTACAGTATCTAGTTTATATAAATGTTACTCTTCAATCCAAGAATCACTGGGCTTGTTTACTTTCAAATTAGACAGTAAGTGTGAGTGATGCTGTAACAACAATAATGACAAGTTATAAATGCCCGGTAACCACCCCCCTCCCTCCCAAACGTTGACCACTATTTTTAGTCCCACTATCATCACAAACAGACTTTATATTTGGCCCCATCTGTAAACGTGTCGCTTGGTGCTTCCCCCTCCCTCCACCTGCCAGTGTTCTATCATCAGTTGTCCTTGTGTGTCTGTATCTGTAGATGTTAGTATAACTCCTGTATGAGTCTCCTGGTGCTGTTGCTAGTTGTGGAGGCGGTTTTCTGGTGCGTACACTTGCTGCAGTCCCTGTCGTGCGGTGAGGTGTCAGTATGATACGTGTGGATACTCCGGATGACTGGGGGAAGGTCAGTGTCTTGTGGTGTTGACGTTGTTGCTGCCAAGAAAGAATTGTATGATGTAGTCTTTGAGTCACGGGACAAGCATTATGTTCTCTTGGTACACGTATGTGTGAATCATGGAGTATATGGATTGCAAACCCTTCTGTGAGTCGTGGATCCCAAATATATTACAGTTTCAGTTCGCAGCTGTGTTCCAAATATGTTCCGATCACCCATGTTGTCATATCGTGATGACTCCTTTCCGGTGATTCAGCTGATCAAAATATTTTTTCATCGTCCTTGTTGGCAGTTTGTTTGCAGTGTTGTGAAGCAAGCTTACTGACGATACAGATTTTGGGAAAGAATCAGGAGTTTTTTATTTCTTTGCTGTGTGGAAATATTCTTACACGTACAGTAACAAGTTGAGGAAATTTTGTGCTGCTGTATTTGGTAAGTTGTTGAATAACGTTTGATTCAGTACAATCTGAATGCATCCTATATTTTGCTGTAGCAGTCGCAGAAATTGTCTACCTGTCTTTTTATTCTATTTCACCTAACATCTATTCACGAGGTTACATGTACATACATGTTATTTCATGAAGGAAGTTGCATGAAATTTTGTGTATTTGTTAAATGCTATAAGCCTATAACCAGAATGGATAGAAAGAATTAAAAGCCATTAGGCCCAGTTATATAATGTAGCTATGGCCTATTTGTTACTGATTCCTATAAAATGTATTTAAATCAATTAGGTTTGGTAAACACTGGTTGCCCTGTTGACCCCTAACAGTGATACATCAGGTATAATTTTAGCTGCTGTATTTGCCTGACCGTGGGTAACCCATGTAGTAAGTTCTCGGTTGTCAGTGTCACTAATACTGGTGCATGTATCAAGTTCATGTCCACGTTTGATCTAGGTCAATGGGACAGACTATGAATGCAGGGAATGCATTCATCAATGGAAAAAATGCAGTTTATTTGCTCTAATTATCTTGCAATTCTCCACTGACTTATGTGCTACAATTTTCAGAAAATGGAACTCAGTCATTAGTAATTATAGTAGCGCTTTCTTCTGATATGTGCTAATAGTACAATTACATGTAAGTCTGGATTGCAATGCATTTTTATTATTTTCAAATGTAACACAGTTGTTAGTAATGATTGTTAACTAAATCTTCAAGATGACTAATGGAAACAGTTAAATGTCCTCTTTTCTCAACATTTCTCTTTGTGTGAAGGCTTGAATTTAGTTATATCTACCCTGGGATATATCAGATCTTATATAATTATGCACATTGTACACATGTTCATGTGTACATGTACTAAGTGTATAAACTTAAGGTGGTTTGCCTGTTCCCTGAACAAAAAATTGTTACAATATTATTGTATTTTGTAATATACTAAACAGCCTGAGTCACATAACTATCAAGCAAAATGCACAAAGCTAATGAAGATGCTCTGCTATACTTAAGTTAAGATGAAAAATGACAATGACAGTTAACATGCAAGACTTACAGTTTTCCCTGTCTTCTTCCCAGCCCATGAGGACCTTTGAGAGTGATAAGAAGAAAGGTTACATCTTGGTGATACATGCATGTGTGCTACAATATATATATACCAAACAGCCAGTCACATGAAGCATTGTACAAAGGTAGTAAAGTCATGCTCTGCTATTCTTAAAGATGACAATGACTACACATATTTAGACTTACAGTTTTCCTTGTCTCCTTCCAGCCCATGAGCACCCTTGAGAGTGATAAGAAGAAAGGTTATAATTACATCTTGTATGCTATACCAGTCGGTCATGTAACTGCAAGAACTCTAGACTTTTTAAGATAACAATGACTGAGTCTTGTAATGTTTTCTGTCTCCTCCTCAGCCCATGAGCACCCTTGAGAGTGATAAGAAGAAAGGTTACATCTTGTCCAGCGCTGACGACCCCATCATGTCCACCATATCCAAGAGAAAACGGCGAGCAGAGGAGTCGCTAGATTCCGTCTACTACGACAAACAGCCACTGGTACGTGCTTTCAAATAATTCCCATGAAAGTTAGACATCCTAGTAATGAGAATCTGATAGAGTCAAGAAAAGAGTTAGTCAAGCACTTGGACAATTTTTTGTAAACTCACTGTCACTGAAATTCCAAAATCTATCCAGTTACTTGATTGTTTTCTTGCATTCTTTATTCATTAAGAATTTATTCATTTATTATTTATATCAGAAATTGTTTATTACCTCCACCTATGTACATGTAGGTTTTGTTTCCACAGTGTTTGTTTGCTTGTGTGTCCAAATTTGAATACAGGCTACTCCTGTGTTGGGGATACCTGCAGGAGAGTAATTAAAACCTGAATAGACAGTGACAGTCTAGTAACAGGAAGTGAGGGGTAGATGGTGTAACTATAGGAAAGTTGAATTGGAAATTTAAATTAAAATGGTCTCACAGGAACACAGGAACTTGAAGTAGAAACAGTCAAGCATTTTGAAAAAAAAAAAAAAACTTTTGCTGGTATCTATGAATTTCTGCACTCAGACTGACCAGTATGTTATTTTTGTACCCCTCCCCAGGCCCACTACACCCCAGCACCCTTTTCAGAGGAACTGCCTCCCTGTCTGGAGCCTTGGAGGAGAGTCACTCGGGAGGAGGCACTCTCAGGCAGAGGTAACATGACACCCTGCTGCCATGTCGGAGTACTGCAGACATGATGGTTGAAATGAGCATGTAGTGATTGATTGAGTGAGTGAGTGAGTGTGTGAGTTAGTGTGTGTGTGTGTGAGTGAGTGTGTGTGTAAGTACATTGTACAATGGAAGAGTGAATGCATGAAAGGCAAAGTGCATTCCATGCTTCAAAAGAAGCAGCTAGCCCTGCCCTGCCCTGTCCTTGCCTTAGCAAATGGTACGAAAGGATCCTAATAGTATTATTTAATACATGTATTAGCGTGCTGAAATACATGTACGTGTACAATGTACATGTACCTACTAATAATGTACATGTGTAATGTAGGGTAGTCAAGCAGACATAATCAAGATCAAACAACAGAAATTGACTGTCAAAGCTGACAACAGAACCTGACAAACTTAAGAAGTTAGATGTAACTTGATGTAACACACATTTTATATTTTTGTTCCAGTGACGAGACCCATCAGGGTGTATGCAGATGGCATCTATGACCTGTTCCACGCCGGCCATGCGCGGGCCCTCATGCAGGCCAAGAACCTGTTCCCTAACACTTACCTGATCGTGGGAGGTAAGAAACTAAACAAACTTTCACTCTGTTATTTGCAGTACATAAGTCTAATGTTAATCGATGACAATTTTAGTCTTAGCTACACACAAAAAAATGTATACTTTGCTCATAGTAATTCTAGATGTACATTGTACATGTAGTCTCCAGATATTCATACTTATAAAGAAAGTATTCCTTTTTTATTCTTGCATCTAATATATTTATTCTAAAACAAATGTTGATTTCTTAAAACAAATTGAATCACAAAGTTCTCCACAAAAGTAAACACCTCTATGCAACTTGAAAGACAATTTAGGGGGCTAAATCACAGCATAGTTTGTTCAAATCATGGCATAGTGATTAAAGCATTATAATTGTATGGCATAGTGACACTCAGACTACAATGTACATGTGTAGGACACTGACTATTTTACAATTTTACAGTATGTAGTGATCATGACAACCTGACCCACAGCATGAAAGGCTGCAGCATAGAGGGTCTAAATCATAGCATAGGGGACCATACACTCAAAGCACTACATGCTTCATGTACATTGTAGCTACAACTCTGACTGTGTTTTCATCGCCTGTCTCCCCACAGTGTGCAGTGATAACCTAACCCACAGCATGAAGGGCTACACGGTTCTGTCAGAGACGGAGAGATACGAGGCGCTGCGCCACTGTCGCTACATCGACGAGATTGTCCGAGACGCGCCCTGGACATGCACATCCGAGTTTCTGGACGAACACAGAGTCAGTTTTCTTTCATGTGTTTGAAATGTGGCATGTTTTTATTTATCATGAAAACAGACATTTCACGGGCAGTCCATTTAGCACAATGTAATTTATGTGTTTAGGTCCTTTCTTCTTCCATATTTGACCTCTCAAGAGGAAGTTCCATGCTGAAAGCTTCTTTCTTAGAACCACTACTTGTATATGCTTATATGGTAAAAACCTCAGCACGATTGCCCCCGTGATAGATATTATAACCGTAAACTTTTCAAGACACACATCTGTCCTTATACTTATTTTTTGAAATCCAAAACATTTAAGTGCCCCACAATGAGCCTTGTTTTGTAGACAAATCAAAGTAAGTGAAAGAATGCCAACCTCTACACCTTAAAAAACTTAAGATCTTCTCGTCACCCCAGGTTGATTTTGTTGCCCATGACGACATCCCCTATGGCGCGGCGGGAACAGACGACGTGTACAAGGACATCAAGGCCAAGGGCATGTTCATGGCCACCCAGCGGACAGAGGGCATCTCCACGTCCGACATCATCACGCGGATAGTTCGCGATTACGACACCTACGTCCGGAGAAACCTGGCAAGGGGCTACTCTGCTAAGGACCTCAACGTGTCCTACATTAATGTATGTACTGGTCATCTAGTTTCATTCAAATTATTATCAGATTTAGATACAGTGGCGTCTGTGTGGTGTAGTGGATAGAGCGTCCTACTGTCAAGCAAGAAGACCCAGGTTCAATCCCCAGGGTTGGACCCAGACATGTCCGGCCATGCACCCAGACGTTGTGCCCTTGGGAAAGGCACTTAACATGCATTTCCCCCCTCAGTTAGAGGGATCCCAGGCCCTACTAGGGTTTGGGTTGGCGTTAGGAAGAGCATCCAGTCGTAAAAATCCTGCTTCAAAAAAAGACTTGTACTTGGTGCAAGCACATCTAACCCCCGGTTGGGGAAAATGACGTTAAATTCGGTTAAAAAAAATTATAATGTTATGGACTTCATAGGCTCCAAGGTGCTTCAGAATCTAAGATTTACAGTCAGAGACTGAAATTCTGGTGATTGAAACAGCACCGGTTCTAAACACTGTAACCTCCAAGGGCTTACTGTCAGAAAAGTTTTACCTCAAGAGGACTGAACCTGCCAAAAACTACTGCAGAAAATGAAATCAGTGACTTGATGAAGGAAGATTACATTGGCAGGTTGGCTGCTCAGTTACTCTGTTATTAGATTAAGTCTGTAGGTAATGAGTCTGGAGTCTCCATCAAAAGGCTTCATTGACAATCCATGAGCCCTAGGGGCTGCGGATGAGCAAGTTCAAAAGACTACAAATGTTCCCATAAATTAATTGGAAGATAAAGTGAACTGAACTAAAACAAAACTTAATAGTCCATGGGCAATGATTGTTTGTAGTACCACCAAGATAGTGGTACTACAACAGCTCATGGACTGTTAAACTACAATATATAACCAAACGTTACTACTGCTCTGCCAATCTGATACTGTCCTGCAGCCATCAAAAGATCTGCTTGGAGATCAGAAATTCACAGCAACTCTAAGTACAGAGATGTGAAATCTTTGGTTTCTAGTTTCAGGAGAAGAAATTCACAGTAAGAAATTTGCAGCAACTCTAAACAAAGGTGTTAAACCTTTGACTTCTTATTTCTTGTGTCTGTAGGAACAGACAGAGCAATATGCACAGAATCCGTGAGAAGTTATAGATACTTCATAGATGCAAAATCTTAAATTTCTTGTTTCAGGAGAAGAAGTTTAAAGGAAGAAATTTACTCTGAAGCAACTCTAAAATATTTCTCATTAAAGGCGGGAAACCTTCAATTTCTTTTTTCCTCTTACAGGAGAAGAAGTTCACAGTAAGAAGTTTACATCATACATCAACTCTAAATACTTCTAAAAGACATTAAATCTTTGATTTCTTGTTTCCTGTTTCAGGAGAAGAAGTTTGCTATCCAGAACCGAGTGGACAGAGTGAAGGACAAGATGAAGAGGGTGGAGTCTAAGACGAAGCAGGTTGTGCGGAACATTGAGGGGAAGAGCCACGAGCTCATCCAGAAATGGGAGGAGAAGTCTCGCGAATTTATTGGCAACTTCCTGGAGTTCTTCGGTGCTGACGGAACATGGGTAATGCAGCTGTCTTTTTATATGTTAAGACATGTATTCACTCACTTACTGTTTGGCAACTTGTCAACTGCCTTCATCAGGGCTTAATTATGTCTGCTACTGCTTACAAGAAGATGAGAAAATTTGGGTGTTAAAAAAGAACTTAACTTTCAAATAGGTATGTCAGTGAAGGTTCAACATCCAGGTAATAAGATATTGCCAAAAAAATGTTTACTCAAGCAACTGTATATGGTTTTGGAAAATGAGAAACTTTCCAAAATCATATCCAGTTGCTTTTGTAACTGTTGTGTGTGTTTTTTGGTGTTTCAAATATTAGGTACCTTGCAACCAGGTAAGTTTGCGGGACATTTAGATTCTTACAAGAAGCCTTTTCTGTTCCACAGAACACGTTCTGGAGGGACGGCACGTCTATAATCCGGCAGGCGCTGTCCCCGCCGGCCAGCCCCAGCAGGTCCCCCCCAGACTCCCCGTCCTCGTCACGCAGCACGGAGGGCTTCGACGGGCTGGAGGGGGCGGAGGGCGGAGACCCGGGCGCGGGGGGCAGCGGGATAGAGTTCAGCGATTCTGACTCCGAGGAGGACTGAGCTGTAACAATTACAATTAACTATCCTGGTGTCTGTTCTAGGCTAACTTCTAGCCCTGGTTCAATTGCTTATCTTCTCAGAATAGTCTGGACCCAAACACACACAAGCTTAAGGAATCATGACCTGGTATCTACCCTAGTGTAGTTCTGGTTGGATCTTCTGATAATTTCTTCTAAAAATAGTCTGGACCCTGACACACACAAAGAATCATAGCCTGGTATCTATGGGGACTGAGCCATAACAGTTACCTAACCTGATGTCTGTTCTAGCTCTGGTTCAATCTCTAACCTTCTCACAATAGTCTGGACCCAAAAACACAAGAAATCATAGCCTGGTATCCATCTTAGTCTAGTCTTGGTTTAATCTTTCCTATCTTTAGAACAGTTGGATCGAGTTCAGTGATTCTGACTCTGACGAGGATTGAGCTAATTAACCTGATCATGTCTGTTCTACATGTAGCTCTGGTTCGATCCCTAACCTTCTCACAATAGTCTGGACCCAAGCACACACACAGAATCATAGTCTAGCTCCAGTACAGTTCAATCTTCCAATCTTCAGAACAGCGATTTTGATTCTGACTGAGAAGGATTGATCCATAACAATTACCTGGTATCTGTTCTAGTCCTGGTTCAATCGCTACTCTCTGGACACAAAAACACACATCAGTAATGGACCTATACCATTATTACGTCACAGTTTGTTTACCGCAATGAATGCCGGTCAATCAATGTTTATATTGTACAGGGGTGCGTAGCGCGGTGTGTGTTTGTGTAGCGTTAGCCTAATATAAGGCTTTTAATACAGTACTACTTTTGTCTAACGTCACAACTAAATCACCCATGCGGCATGTAATGCTGTGTCAACACAACTAGACGCAGCAGAAATCAGACATACCTTGCTTTGAAATGATCTTTATTCTTTAACTGATCATTCTAGAATGTTCTTTAGAACAGGTAAACAAACTGTGACTTAATAATGGTATAGGTCCATTCTGACTTTGACCATGATTGAGCTTTTACAATCAACTAAACTGGTATCTGTTGTACATGTAGCTCTCGTTCAAACACTTATCTTCTCAGATCTAGTCTGGACCCAAAAATATCAAGGAATCGTAAGTATCCACCCTAGTCTAGCTGTAGTTCAATCTTTCAACTTCTTCAGAACAGTCTGTTACATGTACATTATGTATGCCCTTAACGTTAACTTTTAGCTACCGATATCACATGTACATCGGTTGATGAATTTTTCTCAATTCACCATCTTTCACCAAAATTCAGAGCAACCAGGGTTTAAAGTAGGAATCTGATCTCAGTGTTTTAGAATTCCAAGTCTTACTAATTACAAACTAAAAGGCCTGTTCTAATTGTCATATAAGATTAGGAAGAATAGAAAATATATCGGATTCTGTATATAAAATGGTATAGTCAATGTGCCCAGACAGTTAATACCAAAATGGATAATAATATACCCAAACCAGCAAAAACGCAGGAATATATATAATATACCCATTAACTAAATGTATTCCTTAGGTGTAGTATAGTTTGAAGCATTTTTTGTCAATTCTTTGAAAGGACAAAACAAGAACTACAATGTATTTTTTTTCATCTTGTACTTAATGGTACAAATAGTTTAAAGAAGGATCATGTGCATTATATTATATGAATTCTATTGAATTTCAAATAAGCCCTTAACTTTTATGTTGAAATTCACTGTACTGAATGTTATCACAGTCAAGGTTCTTGCAAATCTCATGATGATTTTGAGAGGCCAATGCCATATTGGATGTGTGTGGTGTGGCATTGGGTAAAAGAATTGCCTGACTAAAATTTTTTTTAAAAGTTATGACAAACTTATAACACAATGTTATAATTATTGCAGTTTAATCTGAAACATCTGGATTTTCTGTTGATAGTGATTCAGCATTTGCGTCTAAGACTGGGGACTACATGTTTGTAAGTTCAATGCAGTTTGGTTTGTAATCTTTCTGTATTAAATTTTGTTGCAAAGACATCATGGCCATACACCATCTTGATTCTATGTGGGTGTGATCTTTTTATCACCCAAATTTGTTCACAATATATAATATATACTGATTTTCACTGCTTATTGACAGTTTTACCGAGTATTCTACATTGCATAGAAGGGGCTAATACCACAACTTTCTCTACATTTAGTGTCTACAACAACTGGTCACTGGAAAAGAGAAGGATTTGTGAGAATCAAAGCCGAACAGTACACTGACATGTTTGTAGATGGTGTAGCATTTGCATGGCCTGTGATGAACAGTATTGTTTTTACTTCTGTGGAACTAAGTAATGTTTTAGATGCTCAAGTTGCAACTTGGCTCTGCAAAAACTACTGGCAGGACCAGAAATTTGTTTTTTCCCTCTACAGTCTTTCCCAACGATAACAAATTATTACTAAGACAATTGAAGTCATGTTGCTTTTTCTATGTTACTTTGTCATATTGAATCTTTTTCTAATAGGGACAGGACTGTCTCTTACAGACTGAAATAACATGTTCCAAATTGACTGTCAGAACATTGGGGCATTTATAAAGTACAAATGTTGACCATTTTAGTCTAGATTAAGAGGATTTAATTACATTAAAAGTCATCACCAGAAAATCAGATACTGCTTAGATATGCTGTCAGTAAGAAAGCTTTAATATACAGCCAATTGTTAAAAATATGTCCAGGTTTTTAAGTTGTAAGTAAAATTGATGCAGGGGATATGTATGTTGAAATGAAATTGGGGGAGGGGTTGGAAAATTTGCCATTTAATCTTGCCATAATTAATGTAATTATTGTACGCTATCATAAAGACTTGAACAGTATTGAAATGAATATGTTGATGATATTTGTGTTGCATGTGTTATTACCAGTAGACATCTAGCAAGGCTTCTGGCGTTTTTAGAAATGAAGAATTCTGCGAGTTGTGAAACATACTAGACTAAGTGTGTTGTGCAGAATAAAGTTTACTTGGCTGTATAAATGTAACTCAGGTTTACGATTTTGGCTAGAACATCGAATGCCTTTAAAGAGAAGCAAACAGATATTATACATCACTGTGAACGTTCCCAATTCCATGTACAAGTAACCATGACAGTGTGAGTGCATGTTTGCTGTTCTATGTTAAGTTTTTGCACCTTCTTGTATGTAACTCAAGACACAGCATTCTAAGAGCTTCTTAAGTCATGATGATAGTCCTCACAACAGCTATGGACTTGGCTATATCATATGGCCAGCAATGGCACAAACTAAAAGCCTTCTGGCCATAGTACTATACTGTATACATGCACACATGTACATGTATCTGTATAATGGAATAGCTTGGCTCTTATTGTGCATTAGGCAAAAGAAAGCTTGGCTGTTGTAAGTAAATGCAGCCTGTCATCTCCATTGTCATTCAAATCATTCCCGCAATGTTGTTGTTATACTCCTGCAGCGTATAAACCATCGATAGGATGTTTGTTATTGTTTTACCCATGTTTTAGTGTTGTCCCGAAGCTTCTCTAGAAACGAATGATAGAGACTATGCAGTGCAAGGAATTATGTTGTCTTCAGATGCACTAGTAGGACTTAAATGTAGTACTGACAGAAAAATAAATTCTATGAAATACAATTGTGTGTGATTGCAGTGTTTTGTGTGGTAGAGCTACTTTTGCAAAGCAAATGCATAATTATGTTTACCTTCGCATATGGTCTGCTCTGTTAATTCTTACTCGAACACATTCATAATTATACAATTATGTATATGGTGACAGATGTCTAAATCCCTCCTGCTATAAAATTGCAACATGATGTAACCCAACATTAGTTACCATGGTGACGGAGGTCTGGTTCAGGTCATTGACCTTTTGCATTTGGAGAGGAGGAAACTGAGCAAAATCATATTCTGTAAACATAACTATAAGTTAATTATACTAACAATCAAACAGTAGACTTTGTGACAAAAATGAGCACATTTTAATGTTCTTTCTCCGACATTTTGCATTTACACTGTATAATAATATGAAGCAAATAATAACTTATACATAACATCTAAAATGTAATGTACTTCATGATACATACATCTAAAATGTAATGTAAATCGGTTCACTGTTTCGGTTCAATTCAATAGTGTTAACTGTACAGATGTCACAGTTAAATACAATGTAATTTGTGTGTATATGTACATTTGCCCCAATGATAATGTTACTGGCATGTAAATTTGTACTACATTTGTACATAGCATTATGACCCATAGCCTGACTACATCACGCTAATGCCATAATTCAGGAAAGTGACCCCAGGTCTGCTCGAAATTTTGGTGAATTGAAGTTGAATTCTTTTGATAATGATAACAAAAATGATCTCCATGCTGACTTTGGCTGTAACCAGTACAAATTTAAAGCATTCTCTCAGCATTGAGGATATTAAAACTCAATACTTCCAGCTTTACATTGTCGAGACTTCTTGTTAAATACAGTCTATATTAGTTTGCATGTTGCCATACATAAACAAATATCATATACATGTATTACTAACAAAAACAAAAATAATCGAAAAAGAGATAAAAGTAACAACTATCATAACTAAAAACCTAACTGAAAACATCTAATTGTAGAGGTATGGAATATAATTTCTTGTACATCTTTTGGGAGTTGCTCCTTTAAACATTTACAAAGATGTTGCACAATTAGCAACTAAAGATTCCCAAGTTGAGCTTTTTTTTTAGACATTAAGGCAAAATCCAATGGCCAAATATTGTATGCTGAAACAGCAGAGCTGTTTTAAAACTAGAGCACATCTTCCCTTTAGCTGATGTTGCTTTCCACAGAAGAGCTGTGTACCTTTGAGTATTTATTCACAATATTTCCAGCTGTACAGATAGCATTTCCTTACGTATATATTCACTTGAGCTAGTCCAGGGTCAGAAGCAAGGCATTTTGGCTGTTCCACTTTCGTCCCATGTTGTGAAGATTCGAGAACATGTTTTCCTATTTTTCTTCAATAATCTGTCTGTACTGTGTGTTAGCTGAAACTTAACAAGGAAATTCAAAGTACTTCAGAACTAGTCTATCTAGTATGATGTAATGATGTACATTGTAGTCCATTTTCCAGATGCAGCAGAAGTAAAAAAAAATCATCATAGGATCTCAAATTCTTCATCTGAGTCGTATTGTCTGTCACCTTCCTGGTCATAATCCAGGGATGTGAAATCTGGAAAAGACAAATTGAAAATTGAAATTGATTTGTTATCAAAAAGGACATAGAATTCACACATCAACATTTCTATGATCATGGGCACCAGGGGTTCAGCACCAAGGACAGGACCAACACCATTCCCATGTGTGTTAGTGTGACTGTGTGTGTGTTTGTGTGTGCGCACGCACATGTGTGTGTATATGTGTGTGTATGTTTACATGTATGTGTTAGTGCATGATCTTAAGACTGCAGATATAGCTACAGTACAGGTAATACAGTCTTGCTTTTCCACCTGTTTTGGTCCCGTCTGGCCTTGTAGACAGTACGTATGGCGGCCAGTGCGCCGGTCTGCTCTGCACCAGCTCAAACATGGCGTTGTGAGTTATCTGTGTGTGTGTGTGTGTGTGTGTATGTGTGTGTACTATTCACCTGTTTTGGTCCCGTCTGGCCTTGTAGGCAGTACGTAGGGCGGCCAGTGTGCCGGTCTGCTCTGTACCAGCTCAAACATGGCGTTGTGAGTTTTCTGCCCGATGATCAGTCTCTTCAGGCTGTCACACAGATCCGCAAAGTCTGCCTCATCCTGGCAGAAAAAACCCTGGGAGGAGAATGGAAGTGAATTTCATTTCAGAAACATAATATGTACTACATACATACAGACTACTAACAAACATATATTAATTTGGATATCAAAAGGCATGTTATAACTCTATTATGGGCGTTGGATATTCTATCTATAAATGAAAAAACACTGTAGAAACATTGAGAATGTTTTACATGTAATTTTTATGACTCCCTGCAAAGCAAAAGGAATTTTTCCTTTTTCTTGCCTCTCCTATTCGTTCCCTCTTTACTGTTTGTCAATTTGAGTAATTGAGGGGTTATAATTTGAGGCAAGCCTAGGAGACAACCAAAGGCTTTCTTTTTCTAATTCCCAAAAAGGGATCTCTAACCACCATGTGGCCTTAGACTTGTCTAAAACTTTGTAAAATTTCTCACCAGTGCAATGGAAGGGTCGAGGTCCTGTATGTTCATACGGCTGGGGTGAGAACAGTGGAAACTGGAGTCTGGGATGGGAACATTTCCCTCCAACTCTACTGCTGGCTGTGTGGTGTGGGGGTCCAGGTATACCAGGGAGTTACCTGTAAATATAAACAACCAGGTGAAAATAACAAATAACAAAACAACAACAACATTTCCCTCAAACTCTACTGCTGGCTGAGTGGTGTGGGGGTCCAGGTATACCAGCGAGTTACCTAAGGAACATCAGCGGAAAAATAAAACAAGTTAAGGCAACAACAACAAGGCTTAACTTCATAAGATATGATCATAAAATCACAATGGGTACAGGTATGATACATGTACATCATGTACAAAATGTATGTACATTGTACAGTATAGAATTTTTTTTTTACCTACCTACATAGCCTATAAAGTAGTGTGCATGGTTGGGTTTGCCTCCTATCATGCCCAGTGTCTGTCTCAGGGTAAAACATGCCTGAAAATACAGAGCAAATAGTTAAGATTAAAGAAAAGCACTAATCAACATTCACTATTTCAACGGAGATTCTGACATCACTGGTTTATATGCACATCTCCCTAGTTGTCCTACACAAAATATAATGTTATAAACTCATTGGCTTGGTTTACATAGCTGCAATTATATAATAATGATTTAAAACCTGTAGCATGAAGAAAACATTTTTGGGGGGAGGACCAATGGGCAAATCTAACAAGTTTGCTAGTCTTTGTACTAAAAATAACAGCCCTGTGCAACACAACGTTTAGAGAGTCATGTTTTCCACCCTAAAAGCAACTACAGTCTTGTACCACAGACTCCTGTTGCAGAAGACTTGGGGCATGCACCCTTACTGAAACATTACATGAATACCTTTAAACAATCCACATAGACAGGGTTGAGCTCGCTGAGGCCCAGCCTCAGGGGGATGATCAGCATGAGTGGTTGCCATGGCAATGGACTGCGGCTTCTGGCTGTGGTCTGCTGTTCGCTGGAGACTCCGTTACACAGGAAGGAGTTGGTGACTTGTGACGACGTCGGCTGTCTGGCCGATCTACACAACTTTTCTGGGGAGAGATTTAGTGGTGAAGTGAAGTTATTTAGATGTTTGTTTCTGTAAGGTATAATCAGCTTTTTATCTTTGCCAAGAAGGTTATGTTTTCCCTAGCATTTGTGTGTATGTATGAAATGTTTGTGTGTGTGTATTTTTGTGTGTATTTGTATGTGTGGTTTAGCACGATAATGCTAACGATAAAGAAGCTTTGTCATGAAACTTGATAGGAGGATAGGTCTTGTTGAGACCTAGAAATAATTAGATTTTGGGCCACCCGGTGGCTTATCTATATCTATTTTTCAAGTAAACTGTCAGATTTGTGGGAAACATTTGGCTGCCTAAAAAAGGCAACCAATTTATCTTGAGTAAAAAAGAGACCATTTCAAATGTTTGCACAAGTCACTGCAAAGCTGGGGAACTACCTGCCACAAAACTAAAATACTCACTGATATCATCGATGATGACTGTGTTGTCCATGGCAACGTGAATAGCTAATGAGCTCCAGTCTTCAAACAGAGCCAGTTTCCTGTGGGGAGAAAACCACTCTCCATCAGCATTTCAAAAAGAAACATGTGAGAACATGAAGACCATAACAACATACTATTAAAAATCCGACATTGGGTACCTTGAACACCTCTCTACCAGCACCACGTAAAGTGCGAGTGTATACATGTATGACTGGTTTATTCTTGCAAAGACATACATAATACAGCAAATTGAAAGACTGGTTCACAATTATTTTTTTCTTCTTACTGGTTCTCAACAAGGGATAAATTCCATACTCACTTGAGCACTTGTGCGACAGTGTTTGGGCCAAACCACTGCCCTACTGACTTGCCCTCACTCACTCCCATTTGGGCTGCAAAGGAGAAATTAAAGTACAAAATGCATACAAAGTTATAAGGGATAACTGCATTCAATTTCAATATGTCAACAAAGGTCAGCTTTGTTCCCTTTAAGACAAAGCCAATGATTGTTAATGGCTGAGATGTTGAAAAATTCATTGATAAATAGTACAACAGTACGTAGACATGTCCTTATTTTCTCACTAAAAAGTCTGATATTTCCTACTAGAAAGTCAGAATGTCTACTACTAGACTCACCAATTTGATGTATGGAGTAACAGGAGTCCTTCTTGTCCAGGAAGAGTTGCAGAATCTGTAGGTACAGAAATCTTAGCATTGGTTATCTGCACAGTCATTATGAGTAGCTATTGTAAAATTTGTTCTTGAACATTGTCTTTAACACAGAGTTATCAACCAAGGATTGAGGTGTTCAAGAATTTATTCTTTCCTAGAACTATTTGCAGAGTGGAACTTGCTGTCACCAAGTACAGTAGGGGCATTGTCATTAGATAGCTTTACACAATGTTCAAGGGTTAGGTGTAACAAGTCGATCGATGTAATGTAGCCAGCTGCGTGCCTGCCAAGCTTGTGTGTTACGCTATACAGATACAGATGCAAGCCACATACATGGCTGAAACACAGCCCACCTTTGTGTAGTCGTTATCGTAGGCAGCAGGGTTCCATCTCCAGTCCCGACCCAGGTGTCTGCAGACCAGAGCCTGTCCCAGCATCATCTGTCCACATCTCAGCATACAGCCCCAACCCTGGTCTGACATGGGGCCTGTACCTCCTGGGGAAAAAATCCCTTTTCTGAGTACATGTATCATGTAAATCCTACTAGTACAACCCCCTCCCATGAAGTACATGAAGGGATCAACGTGACATCATAAATTTGAAGAACTTTTGTATTTAAACAAGTATCATCTTTTTTGTACAATGTGTAAAAAAAAAACTGAATAGTTGGTCTGTCCAAAAACCTTTTGCAAAACTAGTATCATCACAAAATGATAATGTGTAAAACTGCCTAACAAAACAGAATTGTGTTCTACATTTGTTAATTGTACTACGTACCTATAGGTGTGAAGTTCTTCCTGTAGGTGAACCAAAGTCTGGAACTGATGTCATTCTGAAGCTCCTGCCGATCTGGGAACAAAAATAAGATACAGAGATTTAGACCCACTAAATAAATGTGTCTCATCCAGTAGATACATGAGGACGGTTAAATGATAACTGACTTGAGCTTCGCTCCATGACAATGCCTTATTAAAGACATTCATCAGCATTAAAGACACTGGAGCTGCATATTTCTTAGTACTACCATTATGCTCCGTTTGGACACTTGATTGAGTCTGCCCAACTGCTTTTGTTGTGACTAGCTTCTTCAGTAGTTGAGCTGTTAATTTGCTAATACAGTGTAGTGTACTAGTAATGCAATTACCTAAATACATGTTGTTCCTGTACTGTGGTTGATATTCTCTTCATTAGCACTGTCTAACATAGCAGAAGTGGTAATCAGTTAATCTTTGAAATTTTAAAACTCTAGTCTATGTGTCAAAAGTGTTTATGCTACCTTCCAGTGTGTTAGAATGAAAATGTACTGTCTTACCACTAACAGTGTTGTACCCGACCCCCAGAATCCAGGCAGGCTCTTTAGTCTTGGGAAACTCTTCAAACTGGATTGCACCGGCTTCATAGGTCACGCACACTGCAACAGAATAATTAACAGAAAACCTCTAATTATACATGAATAGTAGATTTGACCAGTTTCACGTCATTTATGTTGTGATTAAAATAATTAACACACATACACATAGCTATGTGGTCCCACACTGTCCAACCATAGATCTCCAAACACCACTGTACAAACTGTACTACTAGTAATTCAGGGCACAACTTGCTTTGTCGTAGCTTCTTCAGTAACTATCCCAGAACAGAAACTCTACTAGTATGTTCGGGATATGTCACTTTTATATGTTACAACAGGCCATGTTGCTTCTAAAATGCAGAAATGACTACTAGTATCCTTTCAAAGGCCTGGGACAGTTAGTGTATAAATGAGGGCCTGCAAGGGGGGGTAGTGATTACGAATTACGCAAAATTTTCGCCGCCTATTACGATTTACGTTAAAGTCCCAGAGCTGATTACGACTTTACGATTTTCGGCTAACGTCCAATTACGAATTACGTTGATTTTTGCGGAGGCTGCCTACGAATTACGAAGTCTAAAACGGCCTGATTACGCCTTACGAAAAAGGGCTTGCAGGCCCTCATAAATGTCAGAGGAGAATCCTTATATGGAATTTGTTTCTGTTGGATAAAAGACAACTGGGGATAACAGATATAATCTTCAACCTTTGATGTTGTGGTTGAGAATTTTTCTGACTTCCTCCTATCATTGATAAGAGGTATATCATTATTAAGAGCAGACCCCCACATTAAAGACTAGGTAATATTATAGTATAATCACCCCCTAGAATGTAGATGGCCATAAACCTATAATTGTAACAGTGGGGGGTTTATAGGCGCTACCAACAAATCCGGCAAATGGGTCTAGACCTTTCAGCGGAGAGGTTAGAGTGTCTGGTTATGAAGCTCTGGTGCCCGGGAGGTCGTGGGTTCGAACCCCGGCCAGGGACCAGAAGGGTTTTTACTGTCTCCTCCTGTTTCTTACAGTGGTTCCCACACCGGGAATCGAACCCGGGCCTTGGTGGTGAGAGCGCCAAATCCTAACCACTAGACCATATGCTCCTGTTTCTTACACAAAGGCTATTCTGTTGTAAAACTTTCGGCCAATCAAACCTGCACGATTATAAAATGTCAAGTAAAAAATGCCTCCTGTTTTGATGTGTTTTTGGAACATCCCGACCTGATCATGAGTGTAGTTCTGCAAATTCCATTCACTTTCGGTTGGACACGTCATACTTGTTGGCGTGTCTCAACATATCTCTTACTAAGTCTTATAGCCGCAACAGCTACTTCTAGAAACGTCTCAGTGACTCAAGATGACTTCATAATCTTGTGAGACGCCGGTCTTGGGTCACCTGACTATGCCTTCACAGAACTCCGCGCTCCGTCAACAAATAAAAGCCTAAGGGGACTTGAAAATGTTATATGAACTGCTTATAAAGGGGCCTCTAGACTACAAAACAGGAACAGTGCTGTTGTCAACCTATATAGAAAAGTAAGAGTGACTATTCTTTATATCTGTATCCATGTCAAACCTTCATTAAGCTAAACGAAACAGTTTTAAAGTAGATAATTTTTCTTCAGATTTTTTTGCCCCAAAACTACAGATCAGCTGATTCTCGGACCATCGACCAGTCCGCACTTCCGGGTGTGGATTTCGGCGAATATCGCCACATTTCGAGCTACGAAAGGCTGGCAAACGCAAGACACAGTTCTCCAGAGTTTGTATTATGAGTTTTGTCGTTTCTAGGTGCCGAAAATCGGCGGTAGAGAGAGAAAATGAAGGTCTGTATGTCCGTACCTGCGTGCATCCCGCCTGAGAGCTCCATTCTCACCCAGTTCGACACAATAACAATGGCAAATACGCATGCGTATGCTCGATTTCCTCACACGATCTCTGATTGGTCGAATCCTTCCAAACAGCAGACTATTAACCAATGGACGGCCGTGTTAGAAAATGGCACGAAAGGCGATGACGAAATCGACCTGTCCCGTCATCCCCTGCGGAACCCGGAAGTGCGGACAGTGTCTAGAATCCGGAGCATCCAAACCAAGTGTTTTGTAAAGAAAAGCACGTGTGGAAGATTAGATAAGAATAAGAGTATGTCATCCTCAACAGGTAAGGTCTGTAGGAAGTAGAATATAAAGTCTCAGTGCTGAAAATGATAGTCATTGATTTTGATCAATAATTATTGCTTTTCCGAACCTGGAGTATGAGCTGTGCAGTACTAGCTAGTGTATGACGTTACACCGTTTACATGAAAGTTGCACGTCCTTGGTTGACCTTGGCAAATTTACCTTGGACAAACAATACTGACACAGAGAAACAAAGCAGTATTGTTTCGAAATAAACATCACTCCTGCCATTTTTATTCTCAACTCCTTTATGTTGCTCGTCGATGTACTTCTTTATCGTCTATTTGTCTCAATGTGCAGTCCCATCTAAGTGTAACTATTATAGATTACTTAGATTATATATTACTAGAGAACTGGGATCCCCACTAGCCGCGCCGACTGTTGCAGGGCTTCTCTTGCTTGCAGTCTTTTACATTAGCCCTAACAACAGTCGCGGAGCGGTGCATAGGGCCAAATGAACAAACATGCGTTTTACCGTGCAGGAACACTTAGAGACCGAAGTTTGAAAATATAGCCTGGGTACTAAAAATCATTTTTTTATAGCAGAGTGGTATAACAAAGACGAATGGTACACAGGCTAGTGAAGATACACATAAGGCTGCGTATGTTCAAATCTTTATAACCTCTTTCCCCAGCAGCACCACCCCTGCATGAAGCCCTGACACCGCTGGCTTGGCTGGTGGGAACCTGGCGAGGGGAGGAGGGGACAGGAGACTACCCAACCATCAAGGACTTCAAGTACAAGGAGGAGGTCAAGTTCGACCACGTGGGGCAACCAAACCTGGAATTCTCGTAAGTAACAACTTATGTGAAACTTGGAAAAATTATCAACATCAACTGATTAATATGGGGCCATTAGAAACGCAAGTTGAACTTGAAGTTGCTCAGTTAGATACGCACTCGCTCTCTCACTCACTCACTCACTCACTCACTCACTCACTCACTCACTCACTCACTCACTCACTCACTCACTCACTCACTCACTCACTCACTCACTCACTCACTCACTCACTCACTCACTCACTCACTATGCTGTTCATTGTCTGTTGTTCCCGTTTTCTGAGGGTTAGACGTGCTCGCACACTGATGCTGAGGCTTGATGGCAGCTGCAGCCTGCCATTTGCCTCTGTTCTGTGGGTTGATATTATGAAGGTTTAGGTGGTGGAAGTCCTCCCTTATGTTGTCCATCCAGCTCTACCTTGGACACTCTCCAAGGTGTAAAATGAAGGAAGATGACTTTGTTTGCCATGTTTCAGGTTCAACTCCTCCCACTATGAGACTGGGAAGCCGCTCCACAGAGAAAAAGGATTCCTAAAAATCCAACCTGGCACCAGCCACCTGGCCATGGTCAACACACAGAATGTTGGTCAGTTCTTCTTGGTTGTCATTGCGCTACCTTCAACCCTGTAAGCAATAGAGAATAGGTAGCCAAACCACTACTTCAGTGTGCTAAAGGTCTGTTGAACATTCTCCCTGCTGCCTATCTCTATCTGTGACCAATATTTTTGACAGGCAATAAAGAAATATTAACCAAAGGGCTACTTTAGTGTGCTAAAGGTTAATCTTCTCCCTGCTGCCTAACTCTATAGCCAAGGTATAATTCAAAAGAAAATTGCATTTGGTAGCCAAATGGCTACCTCACTTTGCTAAAGGTTAACCTTCTCGCTGCTGCCTAACCCCCTAACCAATAGAGAATTGGTAGCCAAAGAGCTGCTTCAGTGTGCTAAAGGTTAACGTTAATATCCTTTAGGCCAGCCATCTTTTTTCTTGGCTGGTTTTCACAAACTTCTGCACCTGTTTTACAGGTATAGTCGAACTGTCTGAGGGGGAGGTCAAAGGTCAGGAGATCACCCTGGAATCTCACACCATAGGGAGGATGACCTTCGGCAAGGACCCAGCTGTCACCAAGGTCATATGGATTGATTGGCACTTATTGAATGGTCAATTGATTGATTGTATAATGTTTTCATGGCTCTACACTATTCACAGATAATTAAGGCAATCCCCCATCATTCTTAGTAGTAGTTAACAACTTAGAATCATAACTAGAGAGGTAACAATTGCAAAGCAAATTCATAATGTTTTCCTTCGCATATGGTCTGCTCTGTTAATTCTTACTCAAACACATGAATTTCATATACATGTATATGGTGACAGGAGTCTAGATTCCTCCTGCTATAAAATTGCAGCATGATGTAGCCCTGGCAACACTAGTTACCATGATGACAGACGTCTGGTTTAGGTCATTGACCTTATTTGTTTGAAGAATATGATTGTTTTCCTTCATGATTGCTCATCAGTTGTTGATTTCACAGATCCAGAGAACATTTCGGCTGGTGGATCCGGACACGCTAGAACAGGTGGTTCACATGGAGACCAGTGCAACCACCCCTGCACAGCACCACCTGTCCATTCAATACAAGAAGGTGGCATGATCTGCAGCACTGCCTGCAGTTTGGAAGTATTCTGCAAGGTGGCGCTTCTTGGACTGTCACAGCTGATGGATGTTGCATGTCAGTAGCAGTAGGTAGAAGATAAGTTGGAAGTAGCAGTAGTAGTAGTAGTAGACTGGTTTACTTTTATCAACAGCCAATGAAATACCAGTCTAGCACGTCTGTTCACAGTCGCGATTCATACTTCCAATATAGTACTAAAGTTTGGTTGATGCAAACTTCAGTTCTGTTCAGTGTATTTATTCAACTCGTTTGCTCATTGCACTGTTCCTGTATCTTGTTTCATTTTAGAAGAAGGCCACATAAAAGCTAAATACTTTTGTTGTAAATGAATATACTGTCTGGAATATAAAGTAATATTTCAAAGATAATTATCGTAAGTTAAAAGGCTTTATTGCTGTCAGTGTTTCAAACATAGAAGTATGGAAGTACCCATTGTCATACATGAACATAAACAAAATAAGCAAATAAAGTTACTTACAATACAAAAAGTTGACAGTTTCTTTTGCTGAGTCCCCCAAAATAAACCTTAGTTGTTAAATTATGTAATATCAATTATGTATGTATCAAATATAGAAATGTAAAATAATGCGTTTTTTTCACACAGTTTCATGGCTGTTGTTATAACTCTATACAAACTACAAGGCCGGCAGTTTGTTGTCAAAATTTCTTGGCAGTAACATGACCTCTTTCGAAACATAAAGTTTTGGAAAAGGTTTTACACCCGTCCACCTCCATTACTCCTGCTTCCAGTTAGGATATGCTTATGTTACAAATGTACACTAAAGATACACGGGTGTTAACAGAGTAACATTTGTGTTAACGTTACATTTCAGACACGTTGTTTTATTGTCTATACTAGCTAATCTGTATCACTGCAAACACCACACACTTTTAGAAAACCGTTGCCAACCAGTTTCCACAGGTTGCAGTCAGGTCCAATTCTGCATCAAACCAGCTACAACCAGATAAAACTAGATAAAACCAGTAGAGACCGAATAGAACTGGATCAAACCAGTAGCAACCATGGATAAAACTAAATCAAACCAGTAGAGACCAAATAGAACTGGATCAAACCAGTAGCAACCAGAATAGGTATGCAGTTAAAGAAGGATGGCACTGAGATGTTGGGTGAAACTAGTGTCAAGTGGTTTCAGCAACTTGCAGTTACACGTACAACTAGATCAAACCAGACGTGACCGGATAAAACTGGTTCAAACCAGTAGTGACCGGATAAAACTAGTTCAAAACAGTAGCGACCGGATAAAATTGGTTCAAACCAGTAGTGACCGGACAAAACTGGTTCAAACCAGTAGCGACCGGACAAAACTGCTTCAAACCAGTAGCGACCGGATAAAACTGGTTCAAACCAGTAGTGACCGGATAAAACTGGTTCAAATCAGTAGTGACCGGATAAAACTGGTTCAAACCAGTAGTGACCGGATAAAACTGGTTCAAACCAGCAGTGACCGGATAAAACTGGTTCAAACCAGTAGCGACCGGACAAAACTGCTTCAAACCAGTAGCGACCGGATAAAACTGGTTCAAATCAGTAGTGACCGGATAAAACTGGTTCAAACCAGTAGTGACCGGATAAAACTGGTTCAAACCAGCAGTGACCGGACAAAACCGGTTCAGGCCAGTTGCAGCAGGATGGCGAGGGTGCCGATGAGCGCGGTGAGGATGAAGGCCGTCAGCAGGACGCGGTCGATGACCAGCGCCACGTTCTTCCAGTCCCGCTGGTTGGCAGTGTTCTTGGACTGCTCGTCAATCGTCTGGGCGATGGCGTGGACGTTCTGGAGGGAAGAAAAAACATGAAATTTCAAACCAAATTGGGAAATATCAATAGTTGTTGTTTCTTAATTGACAGTGACAACCAAAGAGATAGTTTGGCGTACTTTCAACTGGCCTAGAAGGAGGGCCTACTTCTCCTTTTTCGTAAGGCTTCGGCGTAATCAGGCCCTTTTAGTCTTCATAATCCGTAGGCAGCCGTCCAAAATCACCGTAGGAGAGAAACCTTGTAGTGAACAAGCCAGAAGTAACTTCTGACAGGTAGATTTCAAACCAAGGGGAAGTATTTACCGCTGAAATTTGGTAGGACACTGTGATGTCTCGCATTGTTTTATACGAAGTTAAAATATGCGAAGAATATTAATAAACATCTACTGTTGAAGGCATTGGAACTAACTCTATTTATGCCGAAATCAGCTTGATTTTTTTGCTATTTCACAGTCGTGGGTATGGCGTGGGTATCCGGTCAAGGTGCCTCTTGTATAGTTGTGTGGTCTCATGAAAGTCACTGTACTTATTCTTGAGTCAGTAAAGTTTCTTCAATACTACTAAAACCGACCTGCAGAATGTCCTGCATGCACTTCAGCTTCTTGATCTCGGTAACTGTCGAGGCGGCGCCGCCCTCAGCCGGGCCGTCTCCGGTCGCGATGGAACCTAGACACAACCAACAGTCAGTTAATCTAGAGGTGGGCCCAGAACACAAAATAAACATAAACGTCCAAGTAGTAAATATACACACTTAAATGAAGTAATAAGTTTACACCCGAAGAAATTGAAATACCAAGAGGATTTGAAGTGACCTGATTTTTTATGAGTTGTTGATGTTTTTGCAGAAGACATTTGTGGGGAGGCACCAAAAGAGGGGGGAGACTTTGAAAGCTAAGTTAATCAGGAACTATTTTAATCTGTAACAAAAAATAGAGTTAATATATCTATAGGAGCTACCCAGAGTCACCTACTTCCCAGTGTCACTAACACTAACCTACATGACGCGAGCTACGATGGGCCACGGAGGAGACTTTCTGGATTGATTTGTAAGTAAGTAAGTACCTAGAGGAGAGAGACGACAGAGAGATAGACAAGAATTCGGATAGAAAAGAGAAAGCCTGCCTCTGGAGAAGAAACTGAGGCAGCAGGGTAGCGGATACAACAGATAGACTCCAAAGAAAGAAGGATAGAGAAAAGGAGACGAGAATTCGGATAGAAAAGAGAAAGTCTCCCTCTGGAAAAATAATGAAAAAGACCTACCCAGTGGAGCACCGTCCTTGTCGTTTGCGGCAACCGGGTAGCGGATACAGCAGACCCCAAACAAAGAATGAGAGAGAGAGAGAGAGAGACAGAAACAGAGAGAGGGGGATAGACAGAGCTTTGACTTTGTTAGGATCCACATTTAGCTTAACAGCTAGGAGAGAGAAAGAGAGCAACAGAGAGAGAAGGAGAGAAAGGGAGACGGGAATTCTGATAGAAAAGAGAAAATCTCCCTCTGGAAAACTAATGAAAAAGACCTACCCAGAGGAGCTCCGTCTTTGTCGGTGGCCTGTGCCGGGTATCGGATACGGCAGACCCTGGCCAGCCCGGCACAGGGCTCAGATCCGCCGCGTGGTGGTGGATGCCCCACAGCCCCACAGAAAGGAGAGAGAGAGAGAGTGACGAGAGAGAGAGAAAGAGAAAGAGAGAGACGACAGAGAGAGACAAGAATTCGGATAGAAAAGAGAAAGCCTATCTCTGTAGAGGGCAGAGGTAGCCGGGTAGCGGGTAACTCCAAAGAAAGAAGGAGAGAGATAAAGGGACACGAGGATTCGGATAGAAAAATCTGGAAAAATAATGAAAAAGACCTACCCAGAGGAGCCCCGTCCTTGTCGGTTTCTGCAGCCGGGTAGCGGATACAGCAGACCCTGGCCAGCCCGGACAGGACGGCCCTGAGCCAGCCGGGCACGGGGCTCAGGTCCGCCGCGTGGTGGTGGATACCCCACAGCCCGATGGTCACCACCGTGAACAGCCCCACCAGGATCACGGCTAGGGCGTAGAACTGGCCTGGAACGGAGGAAAGGGATAGTTCAACCCGCACACTCAAGTTTTTTCAACTTATAATTATATTAATGCCGCCACTTACACAGGGGACAATACAATACTCATTTTCACCTGAGCGAAGTGAGGAAAGTCGTGTAAAGTGCCTTTCCCAAGGGCACAAGATCGGTGACATGGGCGGGATTCGAACCCGCAACCTTTTGGGTCTGAGCGGAACGCGCTACCGACTGCGCCACACGACCCCACAAACCCGCAGTTGTCAAACTATTTACCCTTTACTGGAGACCATGGCCATCTCGACGTTATGACCGTCTGGCCCTAAATATACAGCTGCCATGTCTGTACATAACACGTAACCGTCTCTGCGTAAGGCAGACCACCTGACCATGTATACAGTTACTCCCAAAGCAGAGGTTGTGGGGGAATGATCGGTAACTTTTTATATATGGCCTTTTTGTACGTACCCCCACCAACCCGTCGGTGGCCAATGGATACTGGCTGGCCAATTTGACACTGTCTTTTTACCACCGAAAGGGATCTGCTTGGAGATTAGTACTGTACTAGTATACAGTGAGTGAAACCTGTACATGTCAAAACAGTACGTTTTCGGGTGGTACCATTGATCATGTTTCCCATATACACATGACAAGCATGTACATGTAGAATACGGTTTCTGGTGACCACCTATCAACTCCAATTACAAAATATTCTCTTTGTGGCTCAATGGCTTTGATATTAGCCCAATTTCCAGTATTTTGTTATTACCCAATGAAAAGGCTCGACTCATGGCCATCAGTGACCACTCACCAATGATGGGCGTCGTTGCATTGCTGCTGAGCGGGAAGTTCCCGTAGTTGAGCAGGGACACCAAGGTGACCCCCAGCAGCGAGACGACCCCCAGCAGCGTTCTGCTGCCCGTGTCAGAGGGCAAGTAGAACCCGAGCACCGCGGCCGCCAGGAAGAGGACCGTGCTGAAACATATCAACAAAAGAACAATAACATCATAACGCTTATTATTGTATTAGAACTCACCAGAGATCAACATGTAGAACTCCAGAGGCTCGCAGATAGTCTGCTGAGACTGAACTGCTTAAGAAGGCTATCTTTAGCTTACCAAACACAAACACAGCTCTGTGTAGGTGCCAAATATACAAAGGCGCCCAAGGCGTCTGGTACATGTAGAAGTCGTGTCCAGAAACGTGTTTTATCCAGAACCACGATTCTGTTCATGAATAGTCCACCGTGTCCAGAACTGTGTCTTAGAGGAAAATCTACGCACTTGAGTACGCGGAAACAATCCAGAACCGTGTCTCATTCTTAACCTCTAACCCATGGCCATTCGTGCATATAACATGCAATATCACAATTCTTCCCATGCACCATTCCTGAGTGGAACTCTCTGCCTGTAGCCACAGCCCCTACTCTGGCATCCTTCAAGGATAAGGTGGCCCACCGACACTAACCACCCAACAAACCAAATACTAGTACCTAAAACCAACACCAACAACTGCAGTTGACTTCCTGACCTATCCAGTGCAGCAGATTCATCGGCAAGACGATGTTGGCTACCCATACCAAAGAGCAAGAAGCAGATAGCCAGATAGACTAGACACGGTTCACAATGCGATAGTCGACACTAGCTAGAAACAACTTACGGCGCGATGAGGTTGAACTGCAGCAGGGCGCTGGGACTGCGCTGCAGGGCGATGGAGAAGTCCACGTGCACGTAACCCTCCGGGCAGCACTCGTACTGCATCACCTGCCTCCTGGCCTGCGTCTTCTTGATCTTCCAGGTCGAATCCTCGGTGAACGGTTCCAGCGAGATGGAGTCCCGACCTGGAGCTTTGGGTTTGTTCAAGACGTGAGATCTTTTAGCCATTCCGTTTAATAGGGCTCTACATATGGTGACATATTATAGTCGGAAATTGAGGGCATTCTTGAAATAGTCGTGCATTTGCCGTACCAAATCCATGCTGCCCTGGATCCTTGTCAGTTGTTGGTTGGTTCTGTCGCAACCAGCTTGAAAAAACGTCTATACGACCTAGGTAAATGTGACCGCTCTAAAATTTGATGTGTGTACTACAAATGTGCCATGCATGAGTGTTGGATGCAGCAAAGATGATGTGACCTTTGTGGGGTCGTGTGGCGCAGTCGGTAGCGCGTTCGGCTCACACCCAAGAGGTTGCGGGTTCGAATCCTGCCAATGTCACCGATCTTGTGCCCTTGGGAAAGGCACTTTACACGACTTTCCTCACTTCGCTCAGGTGAAAATGAGTATTGTATTGTCCCCTGTGTTGGTGGCGGCATTAATATAAGTTGAAAAAACTTGAGTGTGCTAACTTGAGTGTGCTAACTTGAGCGTGATGTCGACGCAGCGCTCAGTATTACAATTTGTGTGTCGACACAATGAAAGCTTACCGAGACGGAGATCTAGTTCCCCCACGTGGTGCGTCCATGACCCCAGCTTCACGGTGCACGTCTGTACGTCGTACGGGTAGTACGTGGCGTCGAACGCACAGGACGTGTGCGTCAGCCAGCGTGGGATGTACGTCACCTCCCCGTTAGACATCACGATGCAGCTCACAGACGTATCAATGCCGCTGTCAATGAGGCGTCTTAGTTTGGAGGAGAAAGGCACAAATAAGTCGGTGAAGGTTTTTAAAGTTTCTCGATCGTTTTCTTAATTATGGCTGAATGCTTCAATAAAAATACTTCTTGTTGCACACTATAGCTTCACTCACGAGTTGTAGGGCACCAGGTCCGGTATCCACAGCCGGTCAGTCGGGTAGTTCAACTTCTTGATATTGTCGTGCTCCCTCGGATTCCATTTGAGCTGGTAGTCAGTCCAACTCTAGCAAAAAAAAACGTCAAAAATCAGGGCAGAGGGAGACGCACCATGGAAACCGGGACGGGGGGCGTTACACGCTATCTACATGTACGTGACAGATGTTAAACTATTGTCCTAATCTCCAAGCAGATGTGTCGGTGGCTGCAAAATACAGTTTCAAATTGGCAGGTAAAGTGACAGAAGGAATGAGGCACACTGAACGATGCCGATGGTGTTAAGCTGACGTTTATTTCGGTTGCATCTTGCTGATATGCAAAAAAGTAAGCTTACCATTTGTAACCAGCTCATCGTCTTCATTTCTTGATTCTTGTCGTCCTACACAAACAAACAAACAAATAAACAAACAAACAAACGAGCACATGCTTATTAAGCTTGCAAAATCATCATGAGAAAATATTATTAAGAAGAAAAAAATGGTTTTCCTCTATAATTTAACAGACGAGTAATACTATCCAACACCGTGCCTGAGGCAAATCTACATACATGCACAGATACAGAGACGATCCCAGGCCTAGATTTAGATAGGCACTGTTCTGGATAGCCTCTACCAGGCTTCGTGAGGCGGCTACAAAGGGTAAAAAAAACTAGCACTAGCCAAGTAAAGAGATAACATGCTGACGGAGTTGGTCCACATCGGGTGCGGCAAACTGTACTCTTCTACCGAACCAACTCCCCTGGCATGTTATCGCTCTATTTGGCCAAGTTTCACGGCGGTCAATTTCTAGGGTAAAGTTTCCAATTCTACGGAGGGGTATCAGGTTACCGGGGTTCCACGCGCGGCTTCCGTGGAGCCAGTCTCAACGGTTAACATTCTGTTAAGCAATAATTAACAGTTTCACGAGGATTCCCTTGTCCAAATGTGATAAAATCAGCACTGCATATACCCCAAAATGTTGTTGTTTTTATTACAATGCTTAAATGTGGGTGAAATCACTCTCAAAGCGTCGAATGCTTATTCTAGAATAATCGACGTCAATAACCAAACAACTGATTTAAACCGACCCCAAATCTTCCAGAAAATCCCTCATTTTTGCATTTTAGGGAACAGTATAACAAAATTAAGATTTGAGTCGGACAGTTTTCTTTATTTCAAAGTTAAAGTGTTGCTAAGGCCAAAAAATTCGCCAAAAAATGCACTTTTTCAACTTCAAAGACCGATAATTCCAGAATGCCGCCATCTTTAAAAAATCCGTCCGACACAGATCGAGATTTGTGTCTTGCCTACAATTTAAAACGTTTCTGAGGTAAATTGAATTTGTTTTTGTTGCGGTTTAAATACCATGTTTGCAAGCATGTCAGGCAGGGTGAGTAAGTACAGGGGGTAACTTATATCCCAGTAAACAACAATTACGATCGTCAAGGTCACACACGATGACGGCAGTAGCTTCGTTACATGTTACATATCAACTATAAAACAGGGCATAGATGTACTGTCCCGAAATTGGTTTATATTTGTGAAAAACTTGATTTTTTACTGTTAGGCGGTACCCGTGTAAAAACGGGCTTGAAGTCGCGGGTTTACTGTACATGACCGCGGGTGACCCGGGATCGAACGAACGTTTGGTTCGATTGACGTCGTATCGAACATGATTCGATTCGAATGACGTCATATCGAACATGATTCGGTTCGATTAAAAGGTTGGAATATTTGGGCCCAAATTTGACCATCGTGTTTTTACTCTTTCCAGCCGGATCCCGAAGCCTGGTAGAGGCTAGGTTCTGGAGACCGTGAATACTGCCTTACCACTGCCAGAATGCTGGAGATGGTCAGGGAGACCTCCACCACCACAGCGGTCCTGTTGTTACGCATGGGGATGACGCGAGGATGCACCTGTCTCCCCACCGTGTCCAGCAACTCTCCCACTGCCTCGTAGGCGAACGTGCCTGCAGACGTCACAAGCAGAACAGGACAATCAAATGGCTGAGTTCCTGCACGTACTGCCACGAAACTGCTCTACAGTTTCGACCCTCACATGCTGGACACTCCTAAGGCACACGTGGAATCCTTCAAGGGAAGCCTGCAGTACCAAGGGCCTGCAGTACCAAGGGCCTGCAGTACCAAGGGCCTGCAGTACCAAGGGCCTGCAGTACCAAGGGCCTGCAGTACCAAGGGCCTGCAGTACCAAGGGCCTGCAGTACCAAGGGCCTGCAGTACCAAGGGCCTGCTGTACCAAGGGCCTGTCCTGTGGAACAGTCTCGCTAATGATCAGCGGCAACTCAACAGCATCAGCATTTAAAAACAGACTGTAGAGGACTGCAGACTGTAGGACTAGAGTTGGAAACTGATTGGACTTTCATATGCTGTGATCACTTTGATTGGGTCTATATGTCAGTAACATTATTTGTGCATGTATATAGTATTGGAAAGTGACTCCAGGAAAATTCGTGTGTACA